ACGAAATTGTTAGTACTTACATGACACTACAATTTGACAATTTAATTATTCAGTCGTTATTTTGTGAGGCGGTTAAATCATTCGCCAATTGTATTCACCACTTAGTGTACTAAATCGCCACTGTTATTCATCGCATTTTGCTAAGGTGGCAAACGCCAGCGGTAACACTGGAATGAATTCTACAATAGCACTTTTGCAAGCAGCGCACTCCCAATGTTACTCGCTGGAGAATGCATTTTGGCTGCTGATTCGTAGTTTGGTCGCTGTTGATGCTCTACTTAGGCTGCATTCGGCCTGCCAAGCTCGCGCTGGCACCCTGTGGTTGAAGTTGTATACGTTTTCCTGTAAATGCAATTACGCCTAACATAAGAGATTCGTGGTGTCGTCTTATTTGAACTCAGCTGATTGGAAGGTTGAACGTCCGTAACATCTCTGGCTACGTTCTTTTTAATGCAGCTCGGTCTGGTGTTAAGTTTGCTGGTGTGATAGTCACACATTACGACAGGTATCATGGCGCGAGTAAGTCATAACTATAGTTCTCGAGTACCGACGTTTTGACAGAACGTTGAAAAACTTCGACGTGAGAAAATCTTCGACGTTGAAGTCATCTCGTCGATAGCGTCTTCATAGTGTAAACCCAGCTTTAGATGTAAAGTCAACGAAATGCTCGCGTGATGAACTTGTTAATAACTTAATATAATATTAAGAGCTCTTGTAAATGGTGGAAAATGTGACTTCTGTGCTCAGCAAAGCAGAGATATCAGGCGTCAAGTATGATGTAAAAATAATAAAGAGGTTTTATTCTGCGTACACAGATGGCGCATATACGGCTACTAGAATCACATACCAGCAGCTCGCCCTACAGCACGTCAAGCACTCGCGCTCTGTCCCGTCTGCTCGTTCTAGCCCCTTCTGCTCTCTAGTGAATACATTTTAGTAGAGAGTACACCTTGCTTCATACCGTGTCGATCGTGTAACCTTTACCTCTCAGCAACAGCCTTCAGGCGTATTCGTTGATGGTGAGAACCAGGGGCCGGGTCAGAATAAAACACTTTAGTCTTAAAATTAGTCTTAATATTGACTCTTTACGGCTGTCCGACCTCACTAGGAATCGCAACGTCGCATGTGACGTCGCGTGGTAAGGAAGTAACGTGACCCGAATTGTCTCACGTCCTCGAAATCTAGTTCTATGTCGCGATCGACTTTCGTTCGCAGTCATTTGCATCCTTACGCACGCTCTGATATATAAAAAGGAAGACCTTTTGCGTATAATAACGCAACGAACATATTTATACACGTTTAGTGAAGATGTGTTCATGATGATAGTGAGATGCATCTGTTGAACGCTTCGTGGTGTAGGGAGTTGTGTTCAGGTAGTGGTTTACTTACATAGAATCAAGAATCTATAGTAACTGGTTAGTGTCTAGTATAGTAATTTGCAACTACGATCATCATTCTGCTGTTAACTTAGATCTAGCCGAATCACCATCCCTATTTTTATTAATTACATTCCTTTGAGACCAATCTCTCGCGGGCGGTGGTCGTGCTGGCGTGCGTGGCGTGCGTGCGTTGCTGCGTGCCAGTGGTGCTGTGCCGTCGTGCGTGCGTGTGTGTTGTGTGGGGGTGTGTGTGTGTGTGTGTGGTGCGTGGGCGTGGCGTGTGTGCGTGTAAATAGTACGCACAGCCTTACCTTGTGATTGCGTCTAGCTCCCTCGATCCCTCGCTCTCACTTTCTCTCAACGAGCAACGGCTGAACACCAGAGTGAGCGGTGTCTAATGGTAGTTGTACTCATATACTGCCGTACGCGCAGCTCTACATAATGATGGCAGTGAACTATATAACGACAGCTCACGACGACATTACGTTCATGATGAATGAATGAATGAAGGACGGCTTTGTGTTGCTGCGTGCTAATCTACGTAAGGTATCCGGACGTCCGCGGTTGTTGAGCTCACAGCTGCTGGAGTATGTTGCGCACAAGTGTCTGTGCCCTAGAGCAGTACGTGCTTCCTAAGCTATTCCAGTGTAACGAAGCGGTGATGTTACCCGTTTCAAGAAGTGGATTTTGTGTTGAGCATGAGAAGGGAAACTCCAAAGGCCAAGGCAGTTGTGTTTTAGCAAATACTGCCCAAATACGTAATTATTGTTTCTCAAAAGTCGCACCCCGTGCGTGCGCAGGCAGAGCACGATCCGCGTGACCTGCCACACTTGCGTCGTCCTCCTCTTTCAACAAAGAACATTCCATTTCCACGTTTCTAGTAAACCAAAGCAATCAATCGCAGCGCAGGTGGACAAAACCACAGCCCGTGCACACAATCATTGCACAAAACTGACTCTCAACCGGCTTTTCAGTGCTCCATCATCCATACTACAGTCAAACGCGGCTGCCGCGACTAACTGCCATTATGCAACCAACTCGTCGCGACTTCTAATCACCCAACTACTATTTCTAACATCAGCAAACCACACTTTACACCAGTATCATTCACCCTCGAGTCTTTATCACAAAATTTCATTCACCCACGACTAAATTTCCTTATGATTTTTGGTAATTTTCGTCTTAATCTCCCTTTGTGTTTAATTTTATATATATATTTATTATTATTATTTTATGTCACATGAGCAAAAAACATAAATGAAACTCATTTTCTTAAGAGTTTATTTTATTAAACTTAATTTTTAAATATTTCAACTTAATATGTAAAGAGAACAATATAGGAGAATCTATAGAATATCATATAGAATATCAATAAGAAGAGTAGAATATCACTACAAGAAAATGGCACATTCTAACTTTAGATGCCTTTTTTCCTACAAGCAGGGCTTAAATCACGTTAATATAGCTAAAATTCATGTTGCTTGATGCAAATAAGTGCCGGAAGACTGAAGTACGGTAAATATATATCAAGAGCGTATAAAGAAGGCTTTATCGTGAGCCTTCTTAATACGCTCTTGTATATATATATAACTATAACTATAACCATTGAACTTTAACTTTACTTCGTGTTGCCAATTTAGCTACTTTTCTGATAGAACTAGATATATATCTAGTTCTATCAGAAAAGTAGCTAAATTGGCAACACGAATTAACGTTACAGTTCAATAGTTGCCTACGGCGATCCTCGATCCAGTGTTGTCATTTATAAATTTATGATCCCATGATAGCTTGTCTGGGGCCCGTTGTCAGAAACAAAATTGGTTTATTTAACTTTTCTCTTAGACGTTGACAGAAAACGCTGCGAAGTTTTACGAGAATGAAAAATTGGTAGCAGATTTCGCTTCATAACAATAACGAAACAAAGTGACGTTGACGTCTACCAAGAAATTGTTAATAATCATAGGACAATATAAAATATCTGAGGGAATTAAGTCAATCACCCCCTTCGTGCTTCATCTCCAGTGCTTCCACGCTTCATTTACCGTCTTCATTAATTTCATTCACGACCTTGGGGTATAGCATAATGGTGAAACACCGCGCATAAAAGAACCCGTGATTTTAAGAACTCCAGGCTGAAATTGGACCAATAAAAGCACCTATTATATAAGAACGCTCTTAGCCTAATAAATTAAACAGGTTCCTTATATAAACAAAATACCGAAAATTAGAGCAAACTGTGGCAATCCAAGTGATGTGGCTACGAACGCATTGAAACTGTCTACTATAATTAGATCGGAAAGAAAAAAAAAAAAGATTTTCACAGACATTTGACCTGTGTCAATTGTGATTAATATGTAAGTAAATAAAGGTGATAAATAATTAACTCAAAATGAATTAAACAGACGATATAATTGTCTAATATTAAGCAGTTGGTTATTAATTAGTGTCAATTATTCACTAATCTAAAGCCAATTTATACCTAGATAGTGTACACAATATCCCCCCCCCCCCAAAAAAATAAAGAACTTCTTTAAGAAACTCTTCTCAGGCTTGCATTTCTTCACGTATGAACTCGTATATATAAGAACCTCTTTAGGCCTGATACAGAACAAATCACGGGTTCTTTGTTATGGCGGTGTTTTACGGTGTATTTCACCACTTTGCATACTTAAACACTTTCGCGTGTGGCAGCTCTCGATCCTGGTGATCGTAGCTAGGGTACATTCGTGCTTAACTATTTTGAATCATGACGCCATGATGACGACATAGAAATATTAATAGAGACACTTCTATATATATACCATGATATATACTGTCTATAACTATTATATTATTTCTAGAGTGGCGACGTTATGGACGAGTATATAACGTCAGTAAAAAAGACTCCGTATCTATTTGGTTGGACGCCTGGTAGCTGTGCATGTCTTCACACGGTTATCATTGCATCAGTTGCTATCGTATTGATCGTGTCGGTGCCGGAAGATTTACGCTCAAACGTTAGTAATAGCATTGCTCCTAGCGGGGATTCCCTATTATCGACTCATCTGACTGTCGTTGTGTAGTATAGACTACTACGTTGTGTGATATTATGACTAGTATTCTGTATTTTATATTTATTCCTTCAGAAATTCTATTCATTAGTATTGGTGTGCTGTGTGGTATTCTAAGGCATGCAATACGTCTTAGGAGCTACAGTTCAAGTATTCACACAGTATTGAAGTTCAAGTTAGGCACATCAGACGTTAGTCACACAGCCTGGTCGGGTTACAGTTCAAGATGTCACAAATCAGCTGTGTTGCTAACGCGAGTATCACAAAATTAGGTAAAATAATGCTCTAGTCATAATAAATATTACAACTATACTCAATAGCACACTATTTACAAAACTATGTGCCGCGAGCAAGCTGCACAGGCACCTAATTGGTCGTTTATTAATAGAATGATTGTAAATAACACAATTTATTGTTTATTCATGCCACAGGCCCTTGGAGGCTCAAGTTTCAAGAAGAGTATAAGACTCACTGATTAAGACAAGCCTATCTGTGACACTGGCTGAGAGCGTCTATGTCCCCCAGGGTACTGCCGGAACGTACCTTGGGTACGGTCCCGGTATACCGGAACGTACCCTGGTACTATCTAATATGCCCGGACCGTTACCTCGCTATTCCACTAACTACGAGTCTAGGTAGTCGCCTACGCCTACTCCCAACCCTAACCTAACATATCAGATAGTTACCAGGGTACGTTCCGTATACCGGACGCGTACGGCAGGTACGTTCGGCAGTACCCTGGGGGACATAGACCCTATGAGCGTGACACTGTTACTGTGGGAAGTATGAGCGCAATCACCATATCAGTATGATACAGCTATATTTTTCTGTAATTAAAAAATTGATATAAATGTATATGCTTTATGTTTAGGCATTTATATATTATTATTATTATTATGTATTGGGTTAAATTGACTACCGGTACGTCACGAATTTTCTATGGTAAAATTGTAAAATTTTTGTTGCCATTTTTGTTTTACATTAAAAGTAAGAACTAACGGGACTAAATGTATCGTCAAATTCTTACCTAATAAGATTGTTTCTCAACTAGTTAAAAATTCAAAAAAACCTGGACGATTTGAAATAATGTTCCTGACATTAATTGCTTGCTATGGGCTATGTATGAGTCACGAGTGTATGTTCACATCGAACAATATAGTAAAATAGGAAGTATAATGCAGCAATTTAACCATAAAAAGTGAACAGAATTACTTATATTTTGTGAAAAAGTGGAAATATTTTTTTTTTTACTATTTACGGTGACATAATCACTTTAACTAAATATGAAAATTTATGGAAACATGGTATGGTTCTGTTTCAGAATGCAACACATGTCCACTGCTTACTTTAGAGGAGTTGAAGAAGGCACTAGTGATTGTGCAGGACAGCCACCTGTGTCGGCGTACACCGATGTTGTATAATATGCAAGATCTGCTGACTGCGGATGCAACGATGCACCTTCACCTAAAGATGGAGAGCATGCAACCCACAGGTTCGCTGCCCTATGATTTATAGATAATGTCTCTGTGATCAACAGCTTAGAAGGAGCGAAACCAAAAACAAGTTAGTATCGAAATGCGCTCACGTCGTTTTGCCCACAATTTAAACGTGAAGAGCTGAACCATTTTAGTGTTAATGTTTATGCGCGTATTTGCATGCTTGTGGTTATTTCACGTCACCGTGCGCTCTGTCAGTCTCTGTTTGTCCACATTTGTAGAGCAGTAGGATTCATGAGGTAGGAAATGTAGCAAAATGGAAAATGCTTGAACGAAAGTTCACGATTCTAATCTGGTTTGTTCATGTGGTCAATTATGTGTTGTCAGGGTCATTTAAAGTCAGAGGTCTGGCCAACCAGTTGGCCAATTTGCCAGATAATGTAAAGACAGGGAGATCACGCCTTATAACAATGTCTGGTGGAAATTACGGGAAGGCATTTGCCTATGCACTCAGCCAGATGGGATTGAAGGGATTGGTTGTGATGCCAACCTCTGTGCCTACAAATAGGATAGAACTTATAGAGGTGAGCAAGGAATGTAGTAATATATTGCTTCTTGTGTGAACTAATACTATGCCATTCTTTGGTGCACTATGATTAGTTTGCAGGATCGCTGATCTGTTTCTACGTACCTGCAGGGATTTGGGATGGAGGTGGAGCTAGTAGCAAAGAGTGAGATGATGGTTTGTGTGAACAGGCATGTGAAAGAGAATGGCATGACATTTCTTCACTCGTTTGATGATCCTGTCATCATTGCAGGACATTCTAGGTATATATGTATAGTTGATCGCAATGCTGTGTCTTTCTCACATTTCTACAGAGATTGATGTATAGAGTATGTAGATTGATTCTTAATCAAGCAGCAAAAAGCATACCAGCCAAAGCATTGACTGTTCATGTGTCAATTTACATCGCCGTTGCTGAAAATGCTCGCTTCTAACAATTTTTAACATTCAATTTTAGAAATTTTCTGCTGGTGAATCTCCGTTACCTTCGCACGCCATGGAATATTGACACGTGCTCTAAGCCCCACCTTGCTCTCTCTGCAGCATCGGGGTTTGAGATCTTGGAGACTGCAGAAATGGCGGACATGAATTGTTGTGTGCAGGGTCGGATGGCGGGTTGGCATCCTCGCCAGGCTTAGCAGCTGCATCAAGGCTGTGCTGGTCAACCACAGCCTGCAAGACTTCTATGGCGGGTGGAACCCACGGATGCTGATACAAAAGGGAGGTTGAAAACTGTGTATAGCAAGGAAGCAGTACTGTGTGTATGGTTGTGTGTAGGTGCGCGGTTTGTGCGTGCGTGCGTTACGCGCATGTGTGGATTATTCGTGTGTTGGTGATGTGTGGAAGTAGTGTTGCGTCGTGGTGTGCACTGTGTGACGCGTGTGCGGTGTGCATTGTTGTGTGCCGGTCGATAGTGAGAATATAATCGAACGTAGACAGTATGGACGTAAGTTGTATAAACGGTGACAACTAAAGTTTTATGTATAAATACGGCCTAAAGTAGCACGAGGTCAAAACAGTGTACATGTGCCGGTAAGAGGTTGCAGTACGTCTCCTCCGTTTCTTACAAAACCCGACTTTCTAGAGCCGTCAAGCATCCGCCGCGACCGCCGTCCTTTTTAGTCTTAAGATTAATTTATGACCCGCGGGTAGTGGAATACAATGACCGGCGCGGGGACGTATTGTTTGATGGTGCACCGTTAGAATCGAGTCGACCCACCACCTTGACGTTGCCTGCCTAATGAAGGCCGTTTGCATAAACCGCTGTCGGCCTTCTCTTGTTGAAGTTAATGTGCAGTCAGGATACCCATTTCTTTAATCTGGCCTTTTTGCAGCGTCGCCCCGATCTGCGATGTGCGATCGCCCGATCTGCGCGTCGCCGGATGGTGCTGTTTCTGTAGCCGTCGAGTGCCCATTTTGGATACTGCAATCGTACTACAGCCAGAAACGAAACACGGTAGATGTGGTTCATACGCCATTCTGGAAATGCGCATTCTGTTCACGCTGAATTTATGTGTGCTACTTAATTATGCAGCTAGTGTAATTTCTGGCTTGTCTTTTCACCGGGTCGTCCGCTGAACATTGTTATGGCAGTAATGTGCCAAAATTCCACCATGTTCTCGCATTCTCAAAGTTAAACGCCGTACTACCACATGCGCTGTGGTGCATAGCGGCTGGTGCATTGTGCGTGTGCGGCAACAGTCACAACAGCTGTGCCAGGTATTTTCTGCACATTTATGTAATAGATATACTCACTGTACATGTTATCTGGACTTTCAGTACCTCAATAGTCACTGCTTATGTTACTTGTTAACTGTTATCCTGGTTACTGATTATGTAATTTATGTTTACTGTAACTGTTAAGTCACCTGTTATGTAGATATAGAAGCGTTGTTTACACTCTCCAGCTCAGCACCAGTTGTATCAGAGGTTCCAGCCACGGCTGCTCCGTAGCAATGCCCGCTGAAGACAATCGCTCAGGGGCTTGACACCATTTGCAGGGTAACGTGAGCCAAGTAAGTGTGTGGGCTGACAGGGATTTATAGTGTGTGCTGAGGATCGCAATGTTGTCCAAAGCAGTGGAGAAAGCGAGACGGCAATGCAGTCCTAGAGCCAGACTTCGTTCAGTAACGTGTTTTTTTGGTCACTTATTCCGTTGAAAGCCTTGTCTCAGACCCGACCACCTCTACCACACTGTCGACGTCGCATCGAAGAAGCTGCGCTCGTCGCTCTCATTCATTAACATAGTTGAGTCAGTAAATTTTGCCCCCCTAGAACGTATTTCTCAGCTAACGCCATGGAACCCTAACTAGGCTACTTCACCTTGCAGGAGACAATAGCTAAGCTGGGCTTTGCTCAACTGATTATTACCCACACACTGTAAGAAACATGACAGGGGCACAGGATCAGTTCAAATGCCGTTATACTAGCTATAATATATACATATGTCTTAGCCTCGAGCCTCACGCTATGGATTCTCTCCTACCTGGATTAGATTCCTATCTAGCTGGGCTGGATTCTCTCCTCTACCTGGATAGATTGCTATCTACGCTGGGACTGGATTCTATAATCTCACTGGATTTCACTCCTAAAGCCTCTGTAGACACGCGCCGATTGCTAACGCTCGCGCAGGGGGACTGCTGCTTTGAATTAAAGTTGCTCAGTTGTGGCGCCAGGCATTAGGGAGTGGGCGCCGCATAACGCGTGAACCTTTCCTCGCACAGGTCAACAACGTTCCTTTACACTGCCAGGCAGGTTAGTCGGACGAATTGTGCATCGTAACGGACGAGGAGATCATCAGCGCCATGTTGGAAGCTTTTACGAGCGGCGGCGCTGGAAGGTGCGTGGAGCCATCGGGCGCTGCCGCTCTCGCTGCCGCTGCTCGAACGAGGCAGATCCCAGACGTGTCCCCGGAAAGAATTTCGTCGTGGTCGTATCGGATGGCAGATGTAACTCCGGACAGGAAACTGCTGCGGCATGAAGTGACAGCTGGCTTGAGAATACCGAGAGTGCTCGGTGGGGGGGGTGGGCGCTCACCTTTTTTGGGGGTAGGGGTGCTCCACGCTAAATGGGAAAGTTCGAGGGCAAAAAGATGGCTTGACGGCTGAAAACATGCGGCAAAAGATGGCTCGACGGTGGAAACATGAGGGCACAAAGATGGACTCGACCAGTGAAAACATGGGCACAAAACAGATGGGGCTCGACAGTGAACACATGCATCGGCACAAAGATTGGCATGAGCGAAAAAGTGTGGGGCAAAAAGCATGCGCTCACGGAAAAAATGGGGGTGGGCACAAAAGGATGGCAAGGACACGAAAAATGGGCGGGCAATAATGTGGCGCATATGATACAGACGTCACTTTGCAGGTCCCCCCCACCCGGGGGGCTGGAATACTGTAGAGCTTGAAGGCATGATGAAGTTCAACCTAGAGTGATATGCTGAAGTGTACTGATCTTAATCGTAGAGTTCTGTACTACTCTAGAGTGGAGTTCAGTAGTTACTTCGGTTGCAAATAGCTGGAGTAGGGTGGATAAAAAGACTGGGTGTTTAGGGTTCAGATTGCTTGGGCGTTACCTGTCAGGTGTTAAACGCTTTTAATCGATGCATATTGATAGTATCAAGAGCATATAAAGAAGGTATATACTTTAAGGTAATGCCTTTTTTATATGCTCTTGATAGTATGCATTCAACAATGTGATCGTTTTCATGATTTTATATAATCTCGTAGTTATATTTTTATAGACATTGCCGCCTGTAGATGGCGCCTGCGTGTAAAACTACAATTATTCATCTACATCAATGAAATCTGGAATAAAATTTATTTTAATGTAAATCCTTTTTCCCGCTTAACTTTGGATTATTCCAGGTTATATATTTACATATATATTTACGTGATTTTTTTAGTACTTGTATAATAGTGTTTGTTCCGTGGTTAAACATACATATGAAATAATGAGCAATCATTGAAAGAGTCCATTCTAGATCACATGGAATTTTATAATTATAGGCTCTGCGTTTATTCATCGAAATTTATAAATACTCCTACACTTACTGGTACTCTATGTTTAATAATGTGTTCTTACATGCACATGCTTTCGAATCGTTTGCTCCTGTCAGACACTGCACTTGAGACAACAATATCACGTAGATCTATATCAGATGCAGAGTAAACATGACAAGTACAATGAACGCTACCGTATGCACTAATAAAATGCGCTAATGTTTAAAATGCCAAATAAACGTGCTGATTAGGATTTGTGCCGTAAGATTTTTGACATATTATACACAATCGCTCATAACTTGCTGCGTAATCTGTATTTTGTTGCACCTGGTACACAAACAATTACACAACACAGACACGTGCAGGTTGCGTTGACTAAATCTTAAACCGCACGATATAGTTTTCTGCGTGAAACATGTGATTCGAATATTACACCAAAGTTAGGCTCATAGGGTCTATGTCCCCCAGGGTACTGCCGGAACGTACCCTGGTAACTATTTGATATGGTTAGGGTTAGGGAGTAGGCGTAGGCGACTCCCTAGACTCGTTAGTGGAGTAGGCAAGGTACGGTCCAGCATATTAGATAGTACCAGGGTACGTTCTGGCAGTACCCTGGGGGACATAGACCCAATGAGCCTA